AGCTTCTAGAAGCCGCCTTCATTCCTTGGCTCATGGCCTCATCCTCCATCTTCAAAGCCAGCAGCGAAGCATCTTCAGATCTCTCTCTCTCGGACTTTGTGTCCATCATCACATCTCCCTCACTCACTGTGACCCTTCTGCCCTACCCCTTATAAGGATCCCTGTGATTACATTGGCCCAACCGAATGATCCCAGATCATCTTCAAATCTCAAGACCCTCAACTTGGTCACACCTGCAAAGTCCCTTTTGACAGGTAAATTAACATTCACAGGTTTGTGGTAGCAGGATGCGGACATCTTCAGGGGCCATAATTCTGCCAACCACAAACCCCAAACCCTTAGCCAGCAGTCAGGGTCTGAAACCTATGAACTTATATTTCTTTTCAGTCAGTCCCCCCCTGTCCCCAGGTGCTCTCCTAGGTTACTCTACATTCCTGGCACTTTTCTACCTCCTACATTTGTTTCTAGAAGTGTTTTTCCCACAAAACTCAGTGCCTGCAATCCACTCCCTCCTTCACTGAAAAGTTACCTTCACCAGGAAGCCACTTCTGACCTCCCAAGGAGAGAGGCCTCCTTCCCCAAGTCACACACACGATGATGGCTCTGGCAGGTGGCCCTGCTCAGCTCTTTTATTTGCTACCTGTGTGTGTCTTAGTATCCTCATCTATGAAATAATGATAACTAGTAGTAGTAGTGGTAGTTGTGTAAGATTGTATGAGAGAATATGCATAAATGTTTTATTTAGCATAGAGCCTGTTTATACAGCAAAAGCTTGATTTAAAAACAGTCCTGTTTTCATTGTTAGGGTGTCTAAGGCTCCCTTCCCAGCTGAGGTCTGACCACAGACTCAGGCAGATGAGTGCAAGTCAGTGTGGCCACTCATCCATCTCTGAACACTGGGCGGCACAGGAGGTCCACTTCTAAGGAGTTACAGCCTAGCTGGGAAGGGAGCCTCAGAGGAAGTGAGTGAGGGAAGCCTGGAGTGAGGGGAGGCAGTGGATGTCCAGCCCCTTTACCTGGGCCTTTCCCACCCCTCTGACCCTTTTTATCACCCCGCAGGCTGCAGTGTGAAAGTCCTGTACAAACTGGCAAAGCCCTAAGAGAAGCAGTCACAGAGGCTCAGAAAGTCCCCGGGTGACTCAGGGGTCCTCAGGAAGGGTTGATCAAGGCTGACCCCACCTGTTCCCAATCTGCCAGGGTAGGGACTCTTCCCCATGGGGCTCACTCTGCCTTCTTGTGGGGTGGGGAGTCAAGGTCTGTCTGCGTTCTGCCTCAGAGAGGCCCCCATAAAGAATGAAGTTCCTGAAGTTCTACCAGTAGTCTATTGAGGTGGTCAAATTCCTGTTTGGAAAAACAAAAAAATAGTTTTTTAGGCTGTTGGGCAACATTACAGAAAATGCCGATTCGTTCAGCTGTGACTGCCCAGCACTGTGAGTTCCACTGGGTCCCTGAGAACAGTCAGGGAAGACTCCATTGCCTGGTCAGTGCAACCTCCACCATCACCCTACCCCCCTCCATCCACCCCCACCCTTGCCCAGTCCTCTGATGAGTGTCCACCCACAGCTTGGCAGCCCTGGGCTCTAGTCCTGTCTGTAAGGGCTAGCTGTGGGGCTTGGCATGTCCCAGCCCCCTCCAGTGTCCCCCAACGACAGAATCACCATGATGACGCACGTGGATGTGGATGCCTGACATTAAGTAGGATGCGGGGTTTGAGCAGGGCAGATTAGCCATGCTTGCATCTGCAGCTCCCATGCTGAGCAGCGCTGACCTGCCCCAGCCTGCCTCAGCCCTGACTCTTCTGCCTGGGCCACTTGCCAGGACTCTGAAGCTTTGGATGGTTGTCCAACTTCCCCATTCCTGGCCATCCCTGGGGAGAGGTCATAGATGTAACCAGCTCAGGCAGAAGCTGGAGAGGTCCCCAGACTCAGAGCAGAAGCCCCTGGTGTTTGGGATCCCCAGCTGTAGCCCACTACCCAGCTTGATGAGGCAATAGCCCCCTCAGCCGCCAGGAGACAGTCACCCAAACCTCCATTTTCCTCATGGTGACCTGCCTCTGTCTCAGTTTAGAGCTTTGTAGGGTCCCAGTAATAAATAAATAAATAAATAAATAAATAAATAAATAAATAAATAAATAGGAGAAGCTCTTATTGAAAATGTCCACACTGCTGTAAGTGCTCTTTGTGTATTTAATTTACTAGAACCCAGTGAGGTACAAATTATTATAATTCCATTTTACAGATGAAAAAATTGAAGCACAGAGAGGTTAAGTAATGTATCCAAGGTCACACAGCTTGTGAGCAGCTGTCTTGTCCCAGGTTTCCCTAAACAGCCCACAGCAAAGCTTATACCCTAAGGCTTTGTTGGGAGTGGATCCCAGAGCACCAAAGTGAAGGGAAAAAGGAAAGGCGGGGGAAAGGGAGGAACGCAGATACAAGGTGGCGAGAGCATTTCTGAGCAGCCCACTGTTTGACAAGAGATCATAGGTCTCTGCTATGTCACATAGGACATGTAGACAGGCTGGGGCTCTGTACTTCAGACCATTCCGCTGAGGGAGAAAGGAGGGAACTGACTGCTATCTCCTTCCAGTCTCCATGTCTCCACAGGAGGGAGCCAGCATAGAGTGAGGACAAGGAGGCGGAGAGCTGTGAGTCTGTCCAGGTGGCTGACCCAGCTCTTCCCCAGTCTGCATCCCTCATCCTCTCATAGTTAGTTGTTAACCTCATCTTGGGTTGCATGAGTTATTTTGTTTTCCTTTTGGCTAAGCTGGTTTCAGTTAGGGTTTCTGCCATTGCTACCTAGACTCCCCATTTTACACTTGGCTTGGGTCACATAGGTAATCCAGTGTCTTTAGCCTCTGCCCTGTACCATTCAGATCCACGAAGGTCATGTGGCCCTCGATCCAGATCTCCTCAGGTGAGGGAAGATGTTGCCTCAGGGCGCCACCTTCTTTCTCTTCTTCTACCCAAATTTCCTGCCCCAAAGGGCCTGGTCCTAGGTGGGCATGTCACCCACTCCCAGCCCTGTCCCCACTCACTAGAATCCTCTATGTGCCTACTTCTCCTGCTTGCAGGAGAGCTATCCTGGTGACCTAAATCTCTGAGAATCTGAGTTCTAGGGAGAGGGATTTGAGCCTCAAAAGTCCTTGGGTTCTCTGTAGAGCTGGAGGAAGCTCAGCTAAGATCCTGGGACCCAAACCCCACCCATTTGGTTCAAAAAGGGAACCAAGAGGACAGGGCTGCAGTGCCCTCAGGTGCACAGGATTCTCACAGTTGGGCCTTGGGATCAGATGTCTGGGGCACATGGGGGGGAAGGGGAGCACAACACGGACTGGGAGAGACAGATGGAGGAAGATGGTGACTGCAAGTTCCATGGGAATTTTCCTTGGAAACTTGGGCAAGTGGGATGTTCTGTGGCCACCAGGGGCCAGCAGAGGCCTGTAGTCCTGGTGTAGCCTAGGCTTAGACCATGAGGCCTCCAGCCAGAGCCTCAGGTTGCAGCTTTTCGAAATTAAAAAAATAATAAAAATTACATTACATACACATGGTAACAAAAAGTAGACTAGAATCACTGATGTTGAAAATACACAGCAGTACTCCCCCGCCCCAGCCCCCAAGGCACCTCTTTTTTTTTTTTTCTTTCAACTATTTCTATTCTAAATACATCTTTCTTGAGAGAGTTTCACAGTTGTTTTTTATTGATTTCAGAGAGAGGAATTAAGAGGGAGAGAGAGAGAGAAACATCAATGATGAGAGAGAGCCATTGATCGGCTGCCTCCTGCACGCCCCCTATTGGGGATCGAGCCCAAAACCCAGGCATGTGCCCTGACCGGAAATTGAACCTCAATCTCCTGGGTCATAGGTCAGTGCTCAACCACTGAGCCACATTGGCCAGGAGAGTTTCACAGTTTTAAAGCATAAGCTTCCCCTGTCCCATGTGACTTAGTTGGTTGGGTGTTGTCCTCTGCAAGGAAAGATTGCCAGTTCAGTTGCTCCATCCCCTGTAGGGGTCGTGCAGGAAGCAGCTGATTGATGTTTCTCACTCACACATCAATGCTTCTCTCTCTCCCTCCCTCTCCCTCCCTCTCTTTCTAAAAATCAATGAAAAGTATATATTTTTAAAAAGCATAAGTTTATATCTAGGTCTTGATTGACCAGCCATAAATGATACCTTTGTGCAGTGATGAGCTCGTCACCTTTGCTCTCCTGCCCTATCACTGCACCTTAACTCTTGGTTCTGTTCTTGTGCCTGCATTTGAGCAGTATGGTCACGCACCTCTTGCTCCATCTAGTGTCACAGTATCTCACAGCCCTCAGCATCTGGTGAGGGTGCAAGAGACCTATTTACCTCCCACTCTCTGTCAGCCGTTCCTGAACTTCCATGACGTTACCGTGAATAACATTTACCTTCTTTAATGAAAACAAAATTAAAATTTCCCAGCTTTTTCTATAGCAGATGCCAAAAGTGTCCTATGATCAAATATTAGAGGTGGTACATGGACATTTAAAAGAGTAGCTTCCTACCTAACGCTAAGTAGCTCAAGAAGTTCAAAGCAAAATAATAACAAATAATTTGAATTAAGACATAAATAAATTGTTTCGTATTAATTTTAATATGCATTGGGAAATATCTGTGTATGTATGTGTATATATTATGAGCCCTTCAATTTGTGGTTTCACAAATCTCATTGCTTAGGATGAAACTAGAATCAATTAAAAATTTTTTTAATTGATTTTTAGAGAGAGAGAAGGGAGAGAGAGGGAAACATCAATTTGTTGTTCCACTCATTCATGTATCCATTGATTGATCCTTGTATGTGTCCTGACCAGGGATTTAACCCACAACTTTGGTATATTGAGATGATGCTCTAACCAACTGAGCTACCCGGCCAAGGCCCCAATTTTTAAATTTTAAAAGTGAGTCAAGGTGATGAAAATGATTAAATGATGTGCAGTCCCAGAGGCAGATATGGTGAACGTCATGAAGGGGGTTCAGAGATTAATGGGAAAACTGGTCCTGATTGTCAGAGTTGAAAGCCAGTGAGTGAGCTAGGACTTTGCTGTGACAGCTAAGCTGAGTGGCTGTGGTGGTCTCCTTCCCTATAGGATGGGGGCACAGAGACAGTGTGCCTAGCACTGAGGACACAGAGACTCTCTTTTTTCCAATTCACTGCTGACAGTTTCCACATTCCTACTTGTGCCATGATTTACTTTTGCATGTTGTCTTTCTTGGTGTTCCTGATCACCCTGTTTTCATTATTAACCGAAGAGCATATCTTCACGTTGAATCATCGTCTGTTACATGGAGCCTGCAGACACCCAGGAACCTTTTCCAAAAGGAGCTGTTTGTTGTGCCACAGTGGTAGGGGTCCACAGCTGAACCACAGTTGCAGTCATTGGTCACAGGTCATTCCGCTGACAGATGTTTACCGAGTACCTATTCTGTGCCAGGCACCGTGGTCAGAGAAGGAACTAAAGAGACCCACAGAAACGCCTGCCTTCCGAGAGCCTGCATTCTAGGGGACAGAAAGGTGATAAAATACACAGTACACTGGAGTGAAATAATGGTGAGAACATGCTGGGTGGGGTGTGGGTTCAGATGGGTGGTCAGGAGAGGCCTCACTGTGAGGGTGATGTTGAGGTGAAGACAGGGAGGTGAAGGAGAGTCAGCTGATTCATGGAGATAGTGCCTCCCAGGCCAAGGGACAATTACACAAAGGCCCCGAGGCAGAGGAGCAGAATGCAGGCCAGCGTGGCTGGGTGTGGGGGAGATGTGGGAGGTGTGGTCAGAGGGCCTGCAGGTCCCAGTAAGCGGAAAGCCTCCTCCCATATCAGGGGGGGCCCCCTCACTTCCCCACCCCACATACCCTCATTCTACCTTTCACTTCTCACCCGCCTCCGTGCAGGCCGCGCTATCTAATCTCTAGGAAAGGAAAAACCAGCTCTGCGTGCACCCAGCATCCTCCAGGTCCAGATCAGCAGCTTCTGGAAGTCTTTGTTTCTGCCTTCGTGTGGAACAGTGTCCCTACCAGACACCAGTGGAGGGAAAGAGGCAGACAAGCACCAAAAACTAGGGTCCCACTTCAACATAAAGCAGTGCCACCTGGCCATCTGGCTCCATTCCAGGCACCTCCCATTCTTCCTAGTTCCCTCCTCACCCACACCTCCAAGAAGCAGTGATTACTAACCCACCCCAGTGTGACAGAGCTCAGGTGCAGAGGTGGATGCCCTTGCCCAGGTCACTCAGCAAATACACAGAAGAGTTAGGAGTTGAACCATGTCTGTGTAACTCCAGAGCCTGGGGGTTTCCACTTCCTGTGGTTCCTCATTGTCACATACAGACCTCCTCAAGGATCTGCAAAGGGCTAGGAGCCCTCCCCTATAAAATACACACACAAATTACATGCACCCACAAAGACACACATCACACACATAGATATACATAGACACACATAGAAACAATATGGACATGCACGTACATGCACACACCACACAGCGACACATATACACACAGACGAGTACATACACAGTACACATATGTTACCTGCGACTTCAGGAGTACCCAGTCTCCAGGTAAGAATACCTGTATCATCCATGGACTGTTTCTGGAGAGTGTACCATGGGCTGGGCCCCACCTTGCCACACTCTACTGGTCCCCAGAATACACCCTGTTCCAGCCTGAAACCCATGTCCTCCAAGCAGCTCGGCTTGACTCACTGACCCCTCTTGGAGACATAGTACTCCCCACCGCCTTCTGTATAGAGTTATACTGGATTATACTGTTATACTGTTAGACAGGTGACAGAGCATGGCACTAAAGCAGACCTCATACAGAGAACCTAGGGAGGTGGCCATCCAGGGGCACCTAGATACATGCACCGTCTGTCTCCCAGCTAAAGGGAAGAGCAAAATTCATGTCCACCCAGATCCTGGAATGTAACCTTATTTGGAAATTGGGTCTTTACAGGTATCATTAGTTAAGACGTGACGGAGGGAAGGTGGTCTTGTGAAGATGGCAGCAGAGATTGGAGTGAGCGTTTGCAAAGGAACTTTGGGACTGCTGACAACCAGCAGAAGAGAGTCTTCCCTTTAGCCTTGGGAGGGAGTGGGCCCTGATGGCTCCTTGATGTTGGACTTCTGGCCTACAGCAGGGTGAGAGACTAAGTTTCTGTTGTTTTAAGCCCCCCAGTCTCCAGTACTTTGTTCCCGCTGTCCCAGGGACTGAAGCACAGTTAGTCTTAGAGTGGAGATTTCTGCTGTTCTCCCCGCCCCTCCTCTGTGTCTGGACCCTAGCACACCCACCATTAACACTGCTCTTCCCTTTAGCTGGGAGACAGATGGTGCATGTATCTAGGTGCCTGTGGATGGCCACCTCCCTAGGTACTCTGTATGAGGGAGGTCTGCTTTAGTGCCATGCTCTGTCACCTAACAGTCCTAACTGTTGGGAATGTCTCCTGGAGGGCAACACCCAGGGGTCTCCCTTGGGCCACCAGCTTTTAGCGTGGGCTTAGGGGAGATGGGCCGAGTGGGTGAAATCCGACCCAGGCCCCTTTCAGTGATGGTGAGGCAGGGCTGCAGATTGAGGCAGTCAGGGTGAGCAGCCACCAGGGTTGGGGTGCAGCTCAGTGCTGAGGAGGATTGGCCAGGCTTCCTGGGAGAGCGGGAGTGGATTTGCATCAGAAAGAACACTGGCTTCATTGAAATTCTCCTCTGCTTGAGTAGAACAAAACCACCAAGAAAAGGAAAGTTTCAATCCTGAGCAACTTCACCACTGAGGAGTGTTGTGAGCTTCTAAAAATAGAGAGAAAATGGCCTC